TTCCAACATATAATATATGATTTAGTACAATCTCATCGTACCAAATTTGGTGCAAAGGCCCATCAAGACATGGAGTTGTGTTAAAAGGGTGGAAGCAGAAGGCCCATCAGCTAGGCCGATCAGGCAGCCCATTTCCCCTAAACCCTCCAGTTCCAGATTTTCTTCCTTTCTTCTCCCCCAATCCACGATCCCCTCACATCACATGCCGCCGCTCTTCCCTCGCCGTCGCCGGGGCTTCTCGACCCGGCACGCTTCCGGAATCATCTAGCAGCTCGCTCTTCCACACCGCTCTGATTCTCCTCAGGTCTTGTTGGTCGCCAGATTCGCCAGCCCGGTGACCTCTCAGCCGACCGCTCCAGACGGCTCCAGTCTCCGCAGCCCGAGTCGACCTGTTTCCATTGGCCCATTGCTGCGCCCCCCCCCCCATGGGTCGGTTCGGCTGGCTCCGGCATGCGTCGAGGTTCCTTGCGTCCCGGTCGGGCGAGGTGAGACGAGCGAGCTCTCACTTACTTCCCTGCCCATTTCCCCCCTCCTGTTTGGGTTTTGAGGAGTGCCAGACTGCCACTTGTTTACTCTGTTTGGGGTTTTGCTTGCAGGTAGCCGTGCAGAGGTGCGCATGGATTCAGCCGAACACACGTAATCTCCGTTCCATTTTGTGTGTTTTGTTTGATCCCTTGCTGGTTTGGGTTTGAGAGAAGTTTTGCTCTTTCTGATGAAAATCTGCTATTAAAAATTTAGATAATTGGTAATTTGGTGGGCTTGGGGGAAAAATGGCATAGCCGATAACCGCTTACAAACCGTTCATTTTACAGGCTATTGACTTGCTAATCGCTGTGCAATGCATTTTCTCGTTCATTTGTTTTATTGTTACAGGTTTTTATTATTTGAATAATTGTAGATTTATATTCAAACTACACTGGAAGAAAGAACTCTTAAAATCACATCCTAATATGAATAGTGTTGGCCCAAAATAAATTTCAGATTCATATTTGGTAACTACGGGCAGCTTGGCCCTTGGCCGCATGGATTGAAGGGAAATGCAATGGCTTGTCCTGATACAAGGGTGTGCCCCTACTCTTATGGGCAGAGGGCAGCATCTATTTTCTACCTGCTCCAGCATATTTTCTAACCACTAAAGTGGATGCTGAGTATATTCCTATTACAAAGGCTTAGAAGCCAAGGAAAGTAAAATGCAGAAAAGTAAGATATAAGTGTTACTGAGCACTAGGCTTATCTGTCATTCTCTCCCTAAGCCTTGTGCCGAGCACTGGAAGCGATTTGCTGTAGCCCAATCCTCTCCCTCATCTCTTAGAATTTAGACTTCCCCAGCGACTTGGTGAGAATGTCGGCGAGCTGATCAGTAGTGACAATGTGGCTGGCCTTGATGCTCCTATCCTTCAAGCAATCTCTGATGAAGTAGTACTTGATGCGGATGTGCTTGCATCTCTCATGGAAGACAGGGTTCTTGGCCAGAGCTAGAGCAGACTTGCTGTCCACCTTCAGCTCAACCACATCCACCTTCCTGCCAAAGAGCCCTGCCAGCATCCTTGACAGCCATAGTGCCTGAGTTGCTGCAGTGGTGGTGGCGATGTACTTCGCTTCACAGCTTGAGAGGGCCACAACCTTCTACTTGAGGGACTGCCAGCTGACCAAGCAATCACCGAGGAAGAACATCGTCCCGGTTGTGCTCTTGCTGGTGTCCACATCGCCGACGAGGTCGTTGTCGTAGTAGCCGATGAATCGCGCCGTGTCGAGGGCCCTTCCGTAGTGAAGACCGTAGTCGAGGGTGCCCGCCACGTAGCACAGGATACGCTTGACGGCCTGCAGATGCTCCATCGTCGTCCGCTCCATGAACCGGCTCATGTACCCGACGGCGAACGCGATGTCCGGCCGAGTGTGGACCAGATAGTGCAAGCTCCCGATCAGCCGTCGGTAATGGGTTGGATCAACCTCCTCCGCCGTGCTCTCCCGACTCAGCTTGAGCTTCTCCTCCATCGGGGGGTGGGCCGGATTGCAGCCTGTCATGCCGCCAAGCTCGAGGATGCGCTTGGCATAGTGGATTTGGCGGAGGGCGATCCCGCTAGCGTCCTGGCGCACTTCGACGCCGAGGTAGAAACAGAGGAGGCCGGGGTCGCTCATGTCGAACGCCTTCTTCATCTGCGCCTTGAACACCTCAACCTTCTGCTCTTCAGCGCCGGTGATGATGAGGTCGTCGATGTAGACGCCGACCAGTAGGACGTTGCGTCCGCTGCCCCGCCGGTACACCGCCGCCTCGTGTGCGCTCTGCTTGAAGCCCATCTTCTTGAGTGTGGCGTCGAGCTTCGCGTTCCAGGCGTGCGGTGCCTGGCGCAGGCCGTAGAGTTACGCAGGCGGTACACCTTCTCCTCTTCTCCGGCGACGGCGAAGCCAGGTGGCTAGCGCACGTAGACCTCCTCCTTGAGGTCGCCGTTGAGGAAGGTGGACTTCACGTCCATGTGGTGGACTTGCCACCCCTCTTGAGCCGCCAACGCGAGGAGGACATAGACTGACTCCATGCGCGCCAGGGGGGCGAAAGCGTCGTCGTAGTCGATCCCCTCCTGCTGGACGAAGCTGCGCGCCACCAGCCGCGCCTTGTGCTTGATCACCGCGCCCAGCTCGTCCTTCTTGAGCTTGAACACCTACTTCAGGATGATGGGGCGGTGGCCGTCAGGCAGTGGCACCAGCTCCCAGGTGCGGTTCTGCTTGACAGATTTGAGCTCCTGCTCCATCGTCGCCCGCCACTCCGGATCACCCTGCGCTTCAGCATAAGTGGTCGGCTCACCGGCGTGCGTCAGATGTAGCTAGGCAAAGAGCCGCTCGGGCTGGTCCGGTGGAGACTGCTCTACGAGGATGTTTGCCACTGTGCGGTACCGGAGGGGCTCATCATCGTAGTAGGCGTCTAGGCGGTCTTCATCATCCTCCAGCGGCGTCGCGTACTCGACCTTCGGCTGCCTTGTGTGCACTGGTGTCGCAGCGGGCGAGGTAGAAGATGTCGGGGAGGTCGGCTGGTGCGCCGGAGAGGTCGGCGCTGCTGCCGATGAGCTGCCGACCGCCACCGATGGACTGCCGACCACCGCCGATGGGCTTCCGACCACCGCCGATGGGTTTTCGAGCTCCCCCGGATTTGATGATGGCGAGAGCGGCGGAGCTGATGAAGAGGTTGGCGCTGGTGATGAAGACCTAGTCGTCGATGAGGATGCACCTTGTGCTTCCTCAGCACCTCCCGCCCACGCATACTCGACGGTGAAGTCACGGAGCGCGGCCGCCGACCCGTCATCCACCGCCTTGTCCCATGCCCAGCCGCGTCCTTCATCGAACACGACGTCACGCGCATGTGCCGTGTTGCCGGGTCGAGCACGCGGTAGGCCTTGGCCCCCTCTGCGTAGCAGATGAAGACCCCTGGCGAGCTGCGATCATCGAGCTTGCCAACGTGGTTTAGCTCCTTGACGAAGGCGAGGCAGTCGAAGACGCGCAGGTAGCTGACCGCCGGCTTGCGCCCATGCCAGGCCTCATATGGCGTTCTTGCCGTCGAGAGCACTGGTCGGCGAGCGGTTGAGCAGGTGTACGACGGTCATCACGGCCTCGCCCTAGTAGATCGTCGGCATGCCGCGCTGCTTGAGGAGGGCACGTGCCGCTGCCACCACCATTTGATTGCGGCGCTTGACCACGCCGTTTTGCTGTGGTGAGTAGGGCGCGGAGTTGTGGCGCTGAATCCGCTCGTCGGCGTAGTGCGCCGCGAACTCGGCCGCCGTGAACTCACCGCCGTTGTCCGTGCGGAGCACCCGGAGCTTGCGGCCGCACTCCTTCTCCGTGGCTGCCTGGTGGCGCTTGATGGCGCCTGCAGCTGCCGCCTTGGAGTCGAGCAGCACGGCCCACATGTAGCGGGTACCGTCATCGACGAGCAGTAGGAAGTAGCGCCGACCTCCAGGAGTGGCCGGTGACACTGGACCGCAGAGGTCACCGTGCGCTAGCTCAAGCTAGTCGGTGGCGCGGTAGGAGGCTTGACGCGGGAAGGGCCGGCGCTTCAGCTTGGTCACCACACAGGTATCGCAGAGCTGCTCGACGTGGTCGACGCAGGGCATGCCGTGGACCATCTCTTCCTTGCCGAGCTGTTTCAGGGCCTTGAAGTGAAGATGCCCGAAACGCTCGTACCAGCGCCACGCCTCATCATCTCGGCGCGTGGCAAGGCAAAGGGGGTGCACCACCTGCACATGAAGCACGTAAAGGCGGTTGCTTCCCCGGTTCACCTTGGTGAGAAGGCGGCGACTTCTATCCTAGATACGCAGCACGCCGTCCTCGATCTCCACCTGCGAGCCATTCTCGTCCAGCTGCCCGACGCTGATGATGGAGTTCCTCAAGGCCGGGATGTAGTACACGTCGGTGAGGAGGCGGTGCTCCCCGTCTTGGCCTTGAAGATGATCGAGCCCTTCACGCCGGAGTCCAGGTCGGAAGCGTCACCGAACTTGACGGGGCCCTTCACGCCGGACTCCCTTGATCTCGACGGCGGAAGCGTCACCGAACTTGACGGAGCCCTTCACGCCGGAGTCCAGGTCGGAGAAGAACTCGCGCCGACCAGTCATGTGGTGCGTGGCACCGGTGTCGAGGTACCAGCCGTCGATCTTGTCATCGTCGGCGCCTTTGCCGAGGAAGGCGTGGGCGCGTGGTTCGTCGAGGTGGAGATGTGCGGAGCCAACCGTCGCGGACAGGGGAAAGCTTGGACCTTTCACCCCCTCCCCTGCTTGCTGCAGCTCGACGCACCCGTGCACTAGGAACAGAGCAGCATCCTCCTCCCCTGCTTGCGCGACGTGAGCCTGCCCACCGCTGCGTGGAGGATGGCGGCAGTCCTTGGCCCAGTGGCCGGACCTGCCGCAGTTGTTGCAGGTGTCATCCCAGGTCGCCTTACACTCGCCGGCGGCGCCGCCATCAGCGCCTGCTTGACCCCGGGGCCCCTTCTCCTCCTTGCCGCCGCGTGGACGCTGGCGATGCTCCTTGGAGGAGCCGGATGGTTCGGATCCTTCCTCCTTCTCGAAGGTGCGCCACTGCTCCATCGTGTACAGCAGCTTGCCTCCGGCGGCGCCTGGCTCGGTGTGAGGCCCCTCTTCGCGGTCCTGCACCACCTTGAGCCTCCCGGTCACGTCCTTGACGGTGAGCTGCTCGAAGTCGAGGAGCGTCTCGATTGACATGACGATCTGCGTGTACTTCTTCGGCATGCAGCGGAGGAATTTCTCCACCGCGCGCTCCTCTGTGAGGTCGGTGTCGCCGTTGTGCGCCATCTGCTCCATCAGGTTGGTTAGGCGAAGGGCAAAGTCCTCGACATGCTCACCTGGCTGAAAGGCGAGGCCTTCCCACTCCCCTCGGAGGCGCTGCAACGTCGCCCTACGCACATGATCTCCGCCGGCGCACGCCGTGGCGATCGCTTCCCACGCCAGCTTCGTCGTAGCCTTGCTGGCGAGGGAGGCGCCGAGCTCAGTGGGGACGGCGGTGCACAGGGCCTCCAGTGCCCGACGATCGTCATCGTAGCTGACGCCGCCGCCGTGTACCGCCTCCCACAACCGCGGAGCCTGCAACTTGACCTTCATCAGCAGGCTCCACTCGTGGTAGTTCGCCTTGGTGAGCATCGGCCATGGCGTTCCCGCTCCGGAGTCGCGGTAGACCATCTGCAGCATCGGGGAGCGCCCGCGGCGACCACGATGCCGCTCTGGCGGCGGCGACTGGTGGCGGCGCCCGACCGGGCTACGCGATCCACCAGCTGGCTCTGGCTCCCACTCCATCTCGGCGTGCAGCGCCGCAACGGCAGCCACCGCGGCTTGAGCCTCAGCCGTCTCGGCCGCCGTCGCAGCCGCTGCCTCTGCGGCAGCAAGGCGCGTCGCGCGATCTCCGGCTCCGGCTCCTGCTGCGTCACCGCCGGGGTTGATCACCGCACCGGCGGCGGCGTGCGCTCTCTCGATCTGGCTGGCGGTGGACATGGGGCTCACTCACTCAAGAACCCTAGGCTCTAGATACCAATTGTTGGCCCAAAATAGGTCTTAGATTCAGATTTAGGAACTACCAGAGGGCAGCTTGGCCCTTGGCCGCTTGGATTAAAAGGAAATGCAATGGTTTGTCCTGATACAAGGGTGTGCCCCTGCTCTACCTGCTCCAGCATATTTTCTAACCACTAAAGTGGATGCTGAGCATATTCCTATTACAAAGGCTTGGAAGCCAAGGAAAGTAAAATGCATAAAAGTAAGATACAAGTGCTGCCGAGCAGTAGGCTTATCTGTCATATAGTACGGAGGGTTATTGTGATTAAACAAATTTTGTCCATAGATTATGGGCTGACTCATTTCATACTCATGCTCTCCTTTAAATGGATGTGGGTGGGAAGTTGGGAACAACTGCCCTGCCCTGTCTAACTGGATGTGTTTCTGTGTTTATTGTTGGAGAAGAATATTATATTCCACAGATACAATATAACTATCGACATCTGCAGTTTACAGATGTGAAATCAGATCAAGTATATACATTTACTGGCTACTCTCATATTTCTCTGTTCCTTACCCATGCTTATTTCTGTTTTCTTCTGGAGAATTGCAGCTTGCAGCTCTACTGGCATCTATATTGGCGATAAGTTCTATGGTCGATTCATGTTGACACCATTTGTATTGAGCCGGAGTTTTCATGCTACAGGTTATTATACTGGGTTTACACATCACAATTACTTTTGCAATCACAAAGGGCAACTAAACATTTATTGTTTCTTTTGCCAGGTCACCGTTGTTCACAACACAAGGACTACTACAAAATTCTTGGTATTCCTAAGGATGCATCGCAGGATGACATCAAGAAGGCATTTCATTCTGTGAGTATCATTACAGTTTAGTTGATCTTGAGATATTCCAAGGCTTGCTCATGATTGGACTATTTATTTAAGATGAGCGTGCTGTGAATCTAATATCCATTGATCAAGTGGCAATCTCACCTGTTTCTTATCTTTTCATACCATCATGTGTGATGCTGTACATTTCTGAAGAAGGCACTACATGTGTGATTCTTCACTTGTTGTGTAGCTTCGTTAGGTGTGCCGTTGAATCCTGCCAGCAACTGGAAACCTATTTTTGTTATTATACAGACTATGGATATTGTATACTTATATGGCCTTCAAACATATATGCTTCAAGAATTTGAACAAACTAGAATTAGGATGAAAATTAGGCAGATATGTTGAACAATGAATGGGGAAGTCAGATTCACTTGTAAATAATAAGTCTTCAGCATGCATGTTAGCAATATGTTCCGTATATTAAAAGATACAAATGGTGTGATTCTGATGGTTTTGTTTGCTAATTGAATCATTTACACTTCTGCTTCTAAATACAAAAATGTGTGTAGCTTGCCAAAAAGTATCATCCGGACACAAATAGAGGCAATACTGCTGCAAAAAGGATGTTTCAGGAAATAAGAGATGCTTATGAGGCAAGTAAGTTACCACAATTTGTGTTTTCCTGTTGATTTTTTCATTATTGCGCCAAAATTAACAGTCTTGTTATGGTCATTTTGGACTCCAGACACTACGGGATCCTTCAAAGAGAGAGCAATATGACATGGTAAGTTGTCATAGTCTGGTTTCCCTTTTTTACACCTTTTTAGGAAATGACTTGGATTCTTCCAAGCTCTTTGATTGGAGTGATTTTTTGGAATCTGGTACAAGTTTATTTTGTGTTGTAATATTGCAGCTATTTTCTAGAGGGCCAAGGATGGAGTTTGATGGGTCCTATCATGACACATTCTCAGGATACAACAATCAGAGACATGACCCTTTCACAGAATTCCACAGACAGAATGATGGTCGTTTCTCTAGTAAATTCTATAAAATATTTTCTGAGGTGGTTTCCTGTCCCTGCAAACACATTTTACTTCCATTTGTCATGTCAGTGCAGACTGCAGAGTATGAAGTGATACTTATTTTCTTTGTTTTCAGGTTTTCCAGCAAGACATAAATGCGCAGGCAAATGATATTAAGGTTCATTCTTAGGCCTGTTCCTCTTTTATTTTAAGTGTTGTTTTCCTTTTGTTTTTTTTTTCTTGAACTTATTTTATATCTTAACTTAAGTAGGTAGAGTTGAATCTGTCTTTTAGCGAAGCTGCCAATGGCTGCATAAAGCAAGTGTCCTATCGTGCAAAAAATGTTTGTGATTCATGTGGTGAGTACACTTTTATGCTGGAAGTTATTGCCCGGGAGCATTTCTTATTGCACTTGGCTTTTGTATGCGTATCTGTTAAATCAAAATTTAAACCTTTGTTTTCATGCAGTTACTGTTAGTAGGCACTTATGTAGAAGTCATTTTCTGAAATGAGCTTTCAACTGTCTCGAACATGTGCTTTGACATTTTTCCTAATTTTTTTGTTTATTGATTTGCGCATGTCATCTATCCAAATAGTTTGTCTGTTGAACAGACACCTTACTTCAGAGACACCATTAGTTCAATAGCTGTTTCCATGCATCTAAAATTTAAGCTGATGGCAAGATAACTCTGGTGTTCATTTAGTTGTTTATTTATTAGGATGCTATTTCTAATACTATTTGTGTTCTTTGTTCCCGTCATAATCTTTTGGAATCAAGTTGTGGATGGTAGTTATTTGAATGAAGCATTCTTTAGAAAATAATTATCGTCTGAAATCTGTAGGAAGATTGTCATATGTTTACCAGGCTTCATTTGGACACTCCATGGGGTTTTGTGAACAATGTATTAGTAGTAACCAATCATAACCTTGTGACTTGTGACGCTAGCAAACTTAGGACACCTTGTGATTTAGGCCCCACAAGGTAGTTCTATTACTGTACTAGATGGGACTTGAAAAGCTAAGGTTTATGAATGATAACTTGCTGAAGTATGTAATGTTATGGTCGGTAGGACCTATGAGAGGAGGAGTCGTAATAGTGGCTAAGTTCAGGGAATCTGTTAGATATTTGCAGTCTTTTAGATATTTGCAGTAGTTTAAGGAGGAGAATTAGGAGAGATTGGTTAGGGATTGTAATCTGGCCTATAAGGCTCTAAACCGTGAGATCAAGGGGGATTAGCCTGGGATTGAGATTCAATCTCCCCCGGCTCTCGGGCGTTACTGTTCATCGTCCTTTCCTGTGTCAACCTCGCCCCAAACCCTCGTGCTGCAAAGACGGCGCACACGCCGCGCGCCGCCCGTCTGCCACGCCACGCTCGCTTTCTCCCTCCATACTTTCTCCGCATGACAAAGCGAAGGCCAGTAACAACACGGTATCGAGACCATGGCGTCTTCCTCACGTGCCCACCCTCTCCGCCCCACCACCACGCGCAGCCCGCCGCCATCGCATCTACCACCACCACCGCCGACATAGCCACCACCACCCGGCCGCTCGCCGCCACCACCACCCCACGACCGATCATCCCCACCTTTCCGCTTGGCTTATTCCCGGTACCGCCGCCGCCACCATAAACGCCGCAGAGGCCTTCACTCAACTTACGACCGCCATCTATGGGATGCAAGCATCAACTAGGGGCCACAACGCTGCGCGATCGCTATTTGGAGGATCGTGATCCGCCCCTCACGCTTTGCTTGCACCAGACGGCATGCACGGATCTGGTGGCCTCCGGTTCACGCCAAGAATCAACGACCGGTCATCTCCGAGCTCGGCACCACTTCGCGCCATATCACATCCCGTTCCGGCAGCGGCCTTTCAGAACCCCAATTGCCGCCACCGCGCCCACCCCCATCCACAGGCGTTCCCATCACCCAAATCAGCTTCCCGCACTCCCCATCACCTGTCCCATCCCTCTCGTCCATCATCAACGGATCGAGAGCTTCACCGTCCACCACCGTCCCCATCCAATCAGCCCCGTACCTTTTCCACACGCCGGCTGGCCATGACACCGCATTCACTCCCCGGTTTCCCAAGCTGTCCCTACCCATCTATGAAGGTACCGAGGATCCTCTCGGCTGGCTGACAACCTGCGAACAATTCTTCCATGGATATCAAACTAGGCCGTCAGATCGTGTCTGGTTTGCGTCTTACCACCTCAAGGGGACAGCCAGGCAGTGGTACCTGGACTTGGAACGTGATTCGGGACGCCCGGAGTGGGAGCCGTTCAAACAGCTCTGTCAGCAGCGGTTCGGCCCTCCTTCAAAGACCAACCACCTTGCCGAGCTGGCGCGCCTCCCCTTCACCTCCACGGTGGAGGCCTACGCGGAGCTGTTCCAGGCCCGGGCAGCGCACGCTGGTGCTCTCACACCGCTGCAGAAAGCGCAGCTGTTCACCGGTGGCCTCCCAGACCACATCCGCGCTGATGTCGAACTCCAAGAGCCCCAAGATCTCCGGGCCATTGTGTGCGTCTCGCGACGACGCATATATGAGCGGGCGCGAACTCGTCGACCTCGCTGCTCTCCGGCGCGCCCACGCAAGCGCGCGCCGGTTTCTGGGCAATCCGACCGCGTCGGCTCGACTCATAATCGGCTTCAGCGTCATCGTCTTCGCCCCTCCAGCCGCCTCGCACCTTCAAACGCTTGTCCCCGAAGGCCATGGCGGAGCGGCGCAAGCAAGGGCTCTGCTATAACTGTGATGAGCCTTATGTTCGCGGACATAAGTGCGCCCGCCTATTCTACCTTGATGTTGCAGACTTCATTGAGGAGGAGCCGGCTGAAGATGATCCGGCTGCTCCGGCCATCCAGGACCAGGGGCATCCTCCGTTCGATCCGGATGCCCCTCTGATCTCCCTGTCCGCGATCACCGGCATACGCACGGCAGACACGATGCAGCTGCGTGTCCAGGTTGGCGACCACGAGCTCACAACATTACTCGACTCCGGTTCCACGCACAACTTCGTCAGCATGAACGCTGCGCGCCGCGTCGGGCTCCACTTCCACGACAGCGGGGGCGCTCACGTAGTGGTTGCCAATGGCGACCGCGTGGCTTGCCGTGGCCTGGCGCGCGACGACGCCGCCATCAAGATCGGCGAGAGTTCTCGGTGGATTGCTTTGCCATTCCGGCCGACGGCTATGACATGGTCCTCGGGATCACGTGGGCCGCCCTTGGACCCATCCTCTGGGACTTCGATGACCTTTGCATGGCGTTCACTCACCAGGGGCGCCGCGTCCTGTGGAAAGGCATTGGGTCGACGCGCTCTGACATCCCTCCGACAGGCCGTCTGCACGCCGGCCAGCTCTTCCCGGCCAAGGGGACGGAGCCCATGTTGCTGGAGCGTCTGCTCGATTCTTATGCAGATGTGTTCGCAGCCCCGATCGGTCTCCCTCCTGCTCGACCTTGTGACCACCGCATCCATCTCAAGCCGGCTGTTGATCCTGTTGCTGTTCGGCCCTACCGTTACCCACAGCTTCAGAAAGATGAGTTGGAGAAGCAATGTGATGAGATGCTTCGGCAGGGGACCATCAGGTACAAGACATCCCGTTTCAAAGACCGATCCCCGCTTGTCAAGAAGCATGACGGCTCCTGGAGACTCTGTGTTGATTACCGCGCCCTGAACGCAGCGACGATTAAGGATAAGTTCCCTATACCCGTGGTGGAGGAGCTGCTGGACGAGCTGCATGGGTCCAAATTCTTCTCGAATCTCGACCTACGCTCCGGTTATCACCAGGTGCGGGTGCACCCCGCTGATGTTGCCAAGACGGCATTCCGCACGCATCAGGGCCATTTCGAGTTCCTCGTCATGCCCTTTGGGTTGTCAAATGCGCCATCAACATTCCAAGCCCTCATGAATTTCGTTCTCAAGCCGTTCCTCCGTCGCTGTGTACTGGTGTTCTTTGATGATATCCTGATTTACAGCGCCACATGGACGGAGCACCTACAGCATCTGCGCGCCGTCCTCGACATCCTTCGTGAGCACCAGCTACATCTGAAGCGTTCCAAATGCTCCTTCGCTGTTGCATCAGTACACTACCTGGGGCATGTCATATCACCGGATGGCGTGGCCATGGACGCTTCCAAGGTTGCGGCGATCCGATCCACGCCGCGCATGCCAAGCGGTCGGCCGCCCGTGGCTCGCGGGTTTCTCGGTCTAGCGGGCTACTACCGGCGCTTCGTCAAAGACTACGGCATCCTCGCTGCGCCACTCACCAGCCTGCTGCGCAAGGAAGGCTTCAGCTGGTCCGACGCCGCGGCAAAGGCCTTCGCGGCGCTCAAGGAGGCCCTGTCCTCCGCGCCGGTGCTTCACTTGCCGGATTTCAGCAGCGAATTCACGGTCGATTGTGATGCGTCGGGCTCCGGGTTCGGTGCAGTACTGCACCAAGGCGCCGGCCCTATTGCGTTCTTCAGCCGCCCCTTCGCAGCTCGCCATCTCAAAGTGGCTGCATACGAACGCGAGCTGATCGGACTCGTCCAGGCGGTGCGGCATTGGCGCCCGTACCTATGGGGCCGTGCTTTCGTCGTCCGCACAGATCATTATGCCCTGAAGTTCATGCTCGACCAACGGCTGTCCACGATCCCGCAACACCAATGGATAAGTAAGCTGTTCGGATATGACTTCCGCGTCGAGTACCGCCCGGGACGGTTCAACGTGGTCGCCGACGCCCTGTCACGACGCGACGGTGATGCTCCGCTGCTGGCTGCGCTTCCGGCTCCAGCTCCAGCCCTCGCCATGATGTCGGTGCCCACCTTCCATCTCTTCGACGTTCTTCGCCAAGAGCTGGAGTCGTCGCAGGAGCTCCGTGACCGCCGGGACGCGGTCGCGGCTGGCGCACAGGACGCTGATTGGTGCGTTAAGGACGGCCTCCTCATCCACAAGGGCCGTGTCTTCGTTCCCTCGGCCTCTGCTGTCCTGGAGGACGTGCTGCAGCAGGCCCATACAGGCGCCCATGAGGGCATCCAGAAGACGCTGCAGCGACTCCGAACTGAGTTCTTCATCGAGCACGACCGCCGTGTCGTTCGGGATTTCGTCTCCACCTGTGTCGTCTGCCAGCGCAACAAAACAGAGACCTTGCACCCGGCGGGGCTACTCCAGCCGCTGCCGGTGCCGTCTCGTGTTTGGGCGGACATAGCCATGGATTTCATCGAGGCTCTTCCCAAGGTACATGGCAAGAGTGTTATTCTAACCGTGGTTGACAGGTTCTCCAAGTACGCCCATTTCATTCCGCTGGGGCACCCGTACACCGCGACGTCCGTCGCCCGCGCTTTCTTCCACGACATCGTCCGCCTGCACGGGTTCCCGGATTCCATAGTGAGCGATCGCGACCCCGTGTTCACCGGCCAAGTTTGGCGGGATCTGTTTCGCCAAAGGGCGCCCATTGCGCATGAGTATCGCCTTCACCCCCCCAGACGGATGGGCGGTCCGAGGCGGTGAACAAGACCATCGCCATGTATCCGAGGTGTCTAGCGGAGATCGGCCCGAGGATTGGCTGGATCTGGCCGCTGCGGGCGGAGTTTTGCTACAACACCGCTTACCACTCAGCTCTCCGCACATCGCCGTTCGTCGTGGTGGTGTATGGCGCGCCCTCCGAGAAGCTGCTGCCAGTATGCTCTGGTCGCGCCCAAACAGATGTCGTGGACTCTATCCTCTCCGACCGCATGATGAGTTTATTGCCGAGGTTCGTGTTCGACCTGCAGAGCCCGTGAGCATGCCCGCAAGTACTACGACGCCAATCATCGCCATTGGAGTTCCAAGTGGGGGACTGGGTGTGGCTACGTCTTCTTCACCGCCCTACTCAGTCCCTCGCTCCGGGCAGGCGTGGAAAGCTTGCTCCCAAGTACGCTGGGCCGTACCAAGTGCTGGAGCGCGTGGGAGAAGTGGCATACCGGCTCCAACTTCCGCAAGGCGCGCGCATTCATGATGTCTTCCATGTTGGCGTGCTCAAGCCTTTCCGAGGGACTCCTCCGTCGACGGTGCCATCGCTGCCTCCTCTTCGGCACGGTCGTCCTCTGCTTCGGCCTGATCGTGTGCTCCGTTCCAGTCTTCGGCGCGGAGCCTGGCACGTGTTAGTCCAGTGGGCTGATATGCCAGCTTCAGAAGCAACATGGGAACCAGTTGATGATTTCCGCGCAGCTCATCCGTCATTTCAGCTCGAGGACGAGCTCTTTTCGAAGGAAGGGAGAGATGTTATGGTCGGTAGGACCTATGAGAGGAGGAGTCGTAATAGTAGCTAAGTTCAGGGAATCTGTTAGATATTTGCAGTCTGTTAGATATTTGCAGTAGTTTAAGGAGGAGAATTAGGAGAGATTGGTTAGGGATTGTAATCTGGCCTATAAGGCTCTAAACCGTGAGATCAAGGGGGATTAGCCTGGGATTGAGATTCAATCTCCCCCGGCTCTCGGGCGTTACTGTTCATCGTCCTTTCCTGTGTCAACCTCGCCCTCCAAACCCTCGGCTGCAGCACGGCGCCGTCACGCCGCCGTCCTGCCAAGCCACGGCTCGCCTTCTCCCCTCCATACTTTCTCCGCAGCAAGGCGCGCCGTAACATGTAACGTTAGAACTAATTAATTAATACTAAAGTTTTCTTTGCAAAGCTGCCATCTTGCTTGTACATATAATAATGATCATCCTGATTTAGCCCATATCCTCTTTCTTTTCTCATTAATACTGATTTTGTTTTACTGTTAGGTGGGAGAGGTCACTTGCCAAATGCAAAGATATATGTTTGTCCCTCATGTAAAGGTTTGGGAAGAGTAAGTACTTGCTGTTAGTTTCAAACTTTCCATGCAGATACATATGGTACATTCATCTGCTTTGGAGTTTGGACATCACATGTTGGTTTATGCAGGTCACTATGTATCCATTCACAACCATTTGTAGTTCTTGCAGAGGTGTCGGGAAAGTAATAAAGGTAATGTTCCTGCAGGTACCATAAACATTTACGAGCTGTTTGGTTCCGTCTTCTGTATCGCAAACGCAAATGATTTAAACCTGCAGTCGTTACCAGCGGGAAACACAATTGAACTAATTTTATTTACGTTTACGTTACTGTTGCACCAACCAAACAGCTCCTTAGTGTGTTTTGCCCTGTCTCATGGATGATAGTTTTCCACAGGATTACTGCTTGACATGCCAAGGTTCAGGGGTGGTAGATGGTATGAAACATGTAAAATTGGATATACCAGCAGGTACTGTGCACTCAGCTTCAATTGCCTTTTTTCAGTTTGTTTCTTTTTCCAGACGTGCACATGCTCATAAGTTTAGATTGTTTGGACTTTGAAGTTACTGTGTGCAATTGTCCTATATCCTAATGAAATTGCAGAGAGTCATATCTGCATTGGTTCTACTGTAAACTTACCACCACAACTTGTATGTAGTTGAGCTAACACTTGGCTGCCAAAATCTAGGTGCTTTTACATACTATACCTAGTTGCTCTTTTCACTCTATTAGAAGGATTTGGTTGCTTTATTATAGTTTGCTGGGGCTGTTTCTCGTCTCTTTGCATGTACAGCTTGTTGCCTGAAGGAGTTATTAGTTACACTCTGCCTGATGTTTACTATAGACTGAACATGTAACAGTAGAGTTTGCATTGTAATAGAGTAATAATTCACTGATGATTTTCTTGTTTTCTGCAACATAGGACTTGATTCTGGTGACACAATCAATGTACCGGAGGCTGGAGATAGTGGTGGACTTGGTGTCCAGTCTGGAAATCTACACATCAAAATTCAAGTGAGAGTCCATATCCATGCATGGTTCTTTTTATACATATATATCGATCTATAAGTTAAGTGGATTCCACTACCCAAAATTTACGTACCTAATCAGAGAAATATCTGCAATATAGGCTTGTTGGTGTTAACTGTTCTGGAGTGCCAGTCAGAAATGATAGAAAACAAAGCAATTTTCAGATGTTAACTTGTTTTGTCTTTATCTTACTAGAGTGTCACAACAAAGTGTATCAGCAAATTCGATTGATTGTGCTTGTGAAACCATGTGTTCTTTCTAGAGATGGAAGTAACATTAATTCTTATTTGGTGTGCCTGTAACAATCAGAAATTGTGGATGAGAATTGAGGGTCAATCCATAGGTGGTAGGAAGTGTTACATTTCTCTATGAGTTTGGTAGGGTCTGTCATGATTGTTAGTTTTTTTTTTCCGAACACGCAGGAGAGCTGCGTATCATTATATTAAGAAGAAAAAGGAGCAACACAAATGATTGTTAGGTTTAGTCCCACATCGGTAATTGATGGTGGGGAGCACAACATATAAGGCGGGGGCATCCCTCACCTATTAGGCTAGTCTTTTGGGTTGAGTTAGGCCCAAGGCCTTGATATGTTGTGGGCTCTGGTAGACCTGGGCCCGAGGGGCTCCAGCTCGTGGGTATAGCGAGCCGGGCCAAATTCCGCTGTGCACTCTAACAATGATTTTAATAGAGATTGAAAACTATGGATTCACAAAATGAGTGGTTCACATTCTGCTGGGAAACCATGCCTTCTGTTCCAGCCATCGTTACATGTGCCTAGTGTCATGCCTACTTAAATTCAAATGGCCTTTGGTAGCACAAAATGTACAATTTGCTTTAAATAAAAAGCTACTTTTACTAGAGACACTGGAAGGGAAAGTCCCATTTGTCAAACCATACCTGAACCCAAAGGATCCATTTCAAAGCTCAGTCCTTGCTAACCTATCATCGATATCAGAATCAGTTTCTTCAAAGCTTTCTTCAGGCCACTTTGTGTTTACGCTGGCCTTTATTCATTTTTCTCAGACTTATTTCTAGACTTGGATGGTCCAGCACATTCATTTCTATTTAATGCCAATTGTCAGAAATACCTCCTCAAAGATACTTAAGTTACTACCACTGGGAGCATTAGGTTAGCTTGTTTGGTCCAAACATATTATTAGTGAAGGACCTGTGACCATAATATAATGGATGCTTATAGCATTCCTTATGTCATGCATGTCCTTTGCCAATTTGTGACCAGGCTTGATATGTCTCAATGTGATTTGTACCTGTGTTTGATTCTCACAACCATGTAAGGTTGAGACCATAACCAACACCCTGTTATTAGGAGATATCAGGCAGTAGTCTTTGTTTATAACTACTAACTGCTGATGGGTTTATAGGTGTTATATGGGGTGCTGTTTTCTGTACTTAATAGAGGGTAGAGGCTATATCAGCTGCGACCATTATGTTTTTTTTTATATATATTTTGTATGCAATTTTATTGCTGTCTTGTATCAAAGAAAATATATTCTGATTCTCCGGTCAACTGTGTATATCCTAGGTAGAAATTGATCCTGTGTTTACCCGAGATGGTGCTGACATCTATGTCGATAAAAGGATAAGCTTCACACAGGTAATAGCTTCAGTTGTCCTATTTTGCTCCTTTCCATTTGAACATTCTAAAGTTATGCTGTTTCTCACTCAGCCTCAGGAATTTTTTCCTAACCATAAATTATGTGTCGTCCTTCCTCTTTATTAGTTTATGTATCATTATTCTAACCTTCATTTCATGACAAATCAAGGCCGTTCAGTAAAAGATTTCTTGACTTTACTTTTGGTTCCATTGTAATGTTTCACTCTGGATTTAACTTTAAGGTTTCTGGCATAAGATCAACTAGGGTGTTAGTGTATTCAGAATTTGTAGTTGGTTATAATGTCATTATTGCAACATTTTAATGCTGGCACTTATCTAACAATTTTGATTTTCTTTTACATTTCTGTAAAGAATGAGTTTGTGCTTTTATAGTTTACTTGTGACGCGTTCATGCTGATTTTCCTTTTATAAAACTTGCAGGCGATGCTTGGTGGAAAAGTTGAAGTACCTACTTTAAATGGGAAAACAGAAGTGAAGGTAACAATTCTTGGTGGAATCGTACATGCGTGTACTGACACTGACAAAACTACTAGACACTTCCTGTATCATCTTATCTGCTTCTTGTGTTGTTTGTCTGTGCATATATGCATGGAGCCTATTTCAATTCAAGTTTAAAATGCCTGGTAATAACTTGATCTTATTTTTAACGGGTACATGTCTCCATGCACATGGTAATCTCTGTTTTGTCGAAACTTATCTGCGTGTACTTATTGAGTGGATAGGCTTTCAAGTTTAAAATAATATATTTATTCCCCACCAGTTTTTCTTCGAGAAAATTCCGTCAATACCATTGAAACCTATAACTATCCCTTATGTCCCATCGAAAAATTTAGTGTCCCTTTATTGCCATCCATTTGGATATTTTTCTTTCCTTTTATGCCACTACCGCTAATTTTTAGTAAAGTTAAAAGCTAACGCCTTTAAATCATCATCCGATAGCACCAATTGTGACTATTTTACCTGTCACACACATCGCCGATTGTGCATTATTTCGTCAGAACTTCATTTTTGCGAGAGGTCTATTTTTTATACATACTTAATGGAAGAATTATATTTCCGTCGAGATGCAGACATAATCACATTTTTTCAGTGTACATGCATGCTCTTTAGAAGAGGAACAGTGTACATGCATGCTCTTTAGAAGAGGAACAGTAGGCTGGACATGGACTTATTTATCACTGCACAGAAAAATTGAAGGCGTATAATTGTCTTTTCAGAACCAACTAACAGGCCAGTAACCAGCAATGGCACACAAGGGAAAGAAAAATTAGAATTGATGGCATTGTAGGTTTCAATTGCATTGAAGAAATTTTCAATTGTCATCATTTTACTTAATTGACATCTGGTGAATTTATCCAGATACCCAAAGGAGTCCAACCAGGGCAAGTTGTAGTTCTAAGGGGGAAAGGTAACCTATGAAATTTGAGAAATGCCTCACCTGACTTTTCCTAGTAATGAAATGCAGCTCTCCTGCGTTTAAATAAAAAAAAAACACTTTTCCTAGTAAAGTGCTGATGATCATAATTTCTATCAGGATTGCGAGATCCGCCAGGATACTTCGGGGACCAATATGTCCGATTCCGAATTCATTTCCCCTCGTAAGCTGACTATCCTTTTCTTGGCACAATTTTTGCCGACATACTCCATATATATCAAATTGTTGGTGTTCCAGTTCATTTGATCATCTGCCCTTGAAGTAAAAGTATATTGGGTTGGTAATTGATTGGTTGCCTGTTAGCACATTTCATTAAAAAGATCTTGTTATATTCTTCAGAACAAAAGTAATGATTAGTCATCCATGTAGCAGAAAAGAGTTGAAACTGTACATATTTAGTGGATTTCCTGAACTGTTTGCACAGCCTGAAGTCAACCCAGTCTGAAGACAGATGGTTAAGCTGTTCAGTTGGGCTAGCTTTAACTGAGATTGGCATATGATAACCTCTTAGGCTTTGTTTGGATGTTATCGGATTCAACTCAATCCACATGTATTTGGGTGGATTGGGGTGGAATTTAGTTCAAGTTCCACTCCAATCCACCCCAACACATGTGGATTGATGGGAATCCGACTACATCCAAACAAGGACTTAACAAGTTAACATGCTCAGTTTGGTTATGAGTCTATAATTCTATATAAATGATAAATGAAGAGTATCAGTATGAGATGATTCTAAATCGTCACAGTTTATATGCTTCAATAAATGGCATTGAAGCATATGCGGATTGGCCACCTCTCCTCAACAGCTTGAACTATGCAATATTTTGAATACTGCTCCATCAGACTCAGCATCTCTGCTCTGGAAAATCGAGTTGGTTGTGATGGTGTGCCTGCCATTGTCATCATTTTACCCTACACTTTGTTTTATTTCCCACGTAGCCACTGAATAAAATATGGAGCAAACCACCATTACATAGCTGTGGCAGGCTGTCTGCCACCCTGTTCCTTACTTCTCGTCTCCAGATCTGATCAAACCCCGGCTCGCCTTTGAATCTGTTAAATTCCCAATGTGACCTGTCCATACTTGTCAACCACCTGCTGGAGCACTGGTGTCTATGCTGTCCTTTCCCTGGCGCCATATTCCTCTGCCCTTCCTGTCAGCATGGCCTGCAGCGTTGCAACGCCTGTGTCCATTCTAGGCTATTTTGTTACTCACCAGTGCTTGGGGTGGGAAGACTGATAATTGGGCCTGGTGGTTCAAGGTGGTTAGCAGAGAAATTGGAACTCCGGCATCCTGTCTGTCACACTGCTCACTGTCTGTCACTGCGTTTGGCCTGTGAGCTGGAGAGAAAGCTGGGAAGGAACAGGCAGGGACTGGGTAAAGCTTGAGCGTTTGTTTTTCTTTCTTGTTTTTTCTAGGGAGAATTCTATGGTTTGGCTGTTATATCCTGAAGATTGTTATGAGGGGTGAGCGTTGTTTGTTAGCCTTGAGGACATTACGTATAAAGTGTTATCTTTTTTTTTTTTGCTGCTATTGAAGCTTGCAGTGTAAAATGCTAAAAAAAAACCTTAACCACAAGTAGTTTATACTTAATGTAAAACATGGCACTCTTTGGTCAACAAATGGAAAATGTGTTGCCACACGAGGTATTGTAGTGACCGAGCTAGGAGACTGGAGGTTTCAAAAAATGAGCAGTTTGAACATGACTGCAGTTTGTGCAGGCTGCAACAACTCAATCTTGTAGGTGGCTTTTGGTGAGATCTCTTTTTGTCCACGGCAGTCTGTAGGCATACAACTAATTCGATCAGATTGTGCTTTGCATGTTTGCTCTTGCACTCCTCTGTGTACGCTTGTCCTAATGGGCCTAGTAATAACAAAATAAAACTTGGTATTTGTATCTGTTATGACTGGGCTGCAGTACTCCAGGCGCCGGCCCAATAGTGGCTAATAAGCCATATTTATTAATTTCGGGATTTATTTCTATATAATTAGCAGATGACTTGAGGGGTTAATTAGCAAAAGGATATTTAGTTCTACAAATACTTTGTAATCAGGATTATTGAGATTAAGCAGAAACAATCTATTGTTTCCGGCTTCTCCTGGGAGCCGGGAGTTCCTAACCCTAGCCGCCTCTACTGTTCGAACTAGTACGAGGGTTCTAGGGCTACAGCCGCAGCCGCCGCACCCTCGCTGCAGCCACGGCACCACCTCGCCGCCGGTCGACGTTCAAGCCCTCTTGCTGGACGAGGGTATGCCCTCCTGGGAGCGCTTCAAGGAGCTGTGCCGCCTTCGTTTCGGGCCACCCATCTATGGCTCGCGGTTGGCCGAGTTGGGTCGGTTGTCGTTCCACTCCACGGTCCAGGAGTTCGCGGACCGCTTCCAGACGATCCTCGCGCACTCCTGGGACATCTCCATGCGCCAGAAGGCGGAGCTCTTCGTTGGCGGTCTCCCGGAACACATTCGGGTGGACGTCGCGATGCGCGCCCCGCCCGACCTCCAGTCGGCGATGTTCCTGGCCCGCGCCTTTGAGAGCCGCGCCATGGCCACGGCAGCCCTGCAGTAGTCGCCGCAGCAGCGCGGCGCTCGTCCACCGACACGGCCGGCCCTTCCTCCACGCCCTCAGGGGGCGGCCGCGGGCCCTGCCGCCGCACCGGGCATTCCAGCACCGGCCGCAGCGGGCGCGGCACCTGCTGCCCCGGGCGCAGCGGCACCGGCCCGGCCGTTCCGCCGTCTCTCGCCGGCCGAGATGCAAGAACGCCGCCGCCAAGGCCTCTGCTACAACTGTGATGAACAGTATGTGCGTGGGCACGTCTGCCCCCGCCTGTTCTACCTGGAGGCGGATGACTTCGTCGACGACGACAGGGCGCCAGCGGAGGACGCTGTGGCCGCGGCCTTGCCTGAGGAGCCGCACGTCGACGGGGCCGCCCACGCTCACGCTCTTGTGGTTTCTATACACGCTCTTGCAGGGATCAGGACCTACCACACGATGCTTCTTCCGGTGATGATCAAGGGCGAGCACCTCCTTGCCTTGTTGGACACCGGCTCCACCCACACCTTCCTCCAGGGCGCGGCCATGCGCCGCCTTGGACTTGCTCCGCAGGGGGGCGACTAGCGCCTGCTCCTCCGCCTGCTGCACCGACCCACCCATGCTCTCGCCTCGCCATCGAAGGGCAAGCTGCGTCCACGCTACGCCGGGCCGTTCCAGATCGTCGAGCACATTGGCCCTGTGGCCTACCGCCTCCACCTTCCCGCAGCGGCGCGCCTGCATGACGTCTTCCATGTGGGGCTGTTGAAGCCCTACAACTACACCGGCTCTCCACCTTCAGGTCCGGCCGTGCTGCCCCCGGTCCAGGATGGGCGGCTGTTGCCGGCGCCCGAGCAGGTGCTGCGTGCCCAGCTGCGACGGGGTGCTTGGCGCCTACTTGTCAAGTGCCAGAAGATGATGCGACATGGGAGCCACTGGAGGACTTCAAGGCTCTCTACCCCGATGTCCAGCTCGAGGACGAGCTGCTTGCCGAGACGGGGAGAGATGTTATGACCGGGCTGCAGTACTCCAGGCGCCGGCCCAATAGTGGCTAATAAGCCATATTTATTAATTTCGGGATTTATTTCTATATAATTAGCAGATGACTTGAGGGGTTAATTAGCAAAAGGATATTTAGTTCTACAAATACTTTGTAATCAGGATTATTGAGATTAAGCAGAAACAATCTATTGTTTCCGGCTTCCCCTGGGAGCCGGGAGTTCCTAACCCTAGCTGCCTCTACTGTTCGAACTAGTACGAGGGTTCTAGGGCTACAGCCGCAGCCGCCGCACCCTCGCTGCAGCCACGGCACCACCTCGCCGCCGGTCGACGTTCAAGCCTCGCCCTCCGATCGTTCACTCCTACAACCTCAGACCGGTACGAGGGAGAGCGCAGCAGCATATCAGTATCACTTGTTACTATGTATATTATTTGTATTCTTAGCAATTTCTTCATCAATATATCAGTTTTCAGCCTGGTTTATGCTAAGTAAACATTTGATCATTTGATGGCCTTTGTATTACTCCTTTTCGTTCTTCTAATTCATTCTAAATGAAAGTACTTGATTAAACGGTCTTAATTTTGTTGCCGTTTTGTTTTTTATGGTAAAACACTTGCCCTTCGATTTAATTCATAGCACACATTTTATTCTGCAGGGTTGTTACTGAACGTCAGCATGCGCTGCTGGAAGAATTTGCAGTAGAGGAAGCCACGAAAGAACAGAACACTTTTGTAGCAGGAAATTGGTAAGTTCAGGCAGATCCTCACAACTGCATGATCACATGCACACAAACAACACATGCATTTACACAACAGCAATCCATCCCCCTCCCTTCCTAACATTTTGAATGGAAGTGGAATTTTTGTTTCTGACTGCACGATTCAGTTCACCATAGAACTGGATTTGCCATTCTATACTGTCTTTGCTTTTTTGTTTCTGTTTGACTCATAAACTTATTTATAATGCTAGCATGTATCCTCTGCAAAAATTGATAATCTCACTAGCTTTTTTTTTTTTTTGAAGAAAGCACTAGCTTAATTTTGCCTTTCTTTGTTGTGATATTCGTCCATTTGAATTATTCTTCTACTGCACCTGATATTTCAAATTACCATTTATCATCTCTTTTCCTTTCTATCCAATCAAACATAAAGCACATACATGCATTGAACTTCATTTCAAAAGAAGCAAAGTCCACTGGTGTCAGCTTATTGGTTGCCTTTTAAAAAAAAAATATCAAATCTGATCTTTGCGTTGCATTCTAGATTTCTAGTATGTATCTTCTGGTAGTGATAAAGATGAAATTTTAAACAGGCTTTATCAGCAGCTATCTACTGGTTGATACTTACAGGTGGCGGCTAGTTGCAGAAAATATGACAAGGCAAAATGTCATGATCGGAGTCGGCATCCTCCTACTGATTCACCTGATGCTGAGCAAGGCTATGAGCTAGGCCCAACCTCACTTGTGCTGGGGCAGTGTGGCAACATCAAATACTATAAATTCTCCGAAGATTCAGCTTAACACAATAAAACAATGAGGTTGCGATTCTTTAAAGATTATTTTCACCCACTAGAGATCACAATTTTGAAGAAGGCGTTGGTTAGAAGGTTGCTGCTTCCTATGGTAAAATATTACAATAATATCTGTTCACATAGTTCAGAAACTATATGAAGCTGCCAATTGAGTTGTCTAAAGTTTGTTGTTTTTTTTCTCTTTCGGTGTAAATGTAATGCGGATGCTCTACAGTTGGAATAGTTCAACGTGCTGGGTGAAATTGAATGTATCTTTTAAATTCACGCATCGTTTATCTTGGATCATAATCATATTACCTTTTTTCTACACCCGTGGTCATGTCACGTGCCCACCCTAGGCCTATGTAGTCATGGTGCTTCACTGGCAATAGTTGTGACTGCAGCTGCTCGGTTTAGGTTTCTCGAAGGTGGAGAGGCTGGGATTTTTATTTTATTTATTTATTTATCTATTTATTTATTTTTGCCAATAGTTCTCTCACATTGTTTGAAAATTTATATTGGAAGTACTTGTTATCAAGAAATAGAAGGGGCAGACCCAGTGCCGGAGGCTCTCACACAAGTGGGGTCTGGGGAAGGGATAAACCGAAACAAGCCTTTCCCCCGCAAAATCTGCGGAGAGGCTGCTTCGAACCCATGACCTGGTGACTCAGTGAGACAGCTCTCACCACTGCACCAGGCCTGCCCTTCTGTTATCAAGAAATAGAAGTTGAATTTTTTTATGTATGAAAGATTTCTGTCTTGAACTGAAAATTGATTTGTGTTAAAATTGTCTGTTGCCTAATTTTCTTGGTTGAAACTTATCAATTCCCTCTTTAAGCAACGCAATGGATCGGCACCTAGCGCCACGCTGTGACGACCGGTGTAGCGATGGAATGGGCTGTGTCTACTCAGGCCACGCTCTGACGGCAGGTGTAGCGATGGAATGGGATGTGCCCTCTCACTGAGTAGTTGGCCTGATCGATGGAATGGTCATAGCTACTGGCCTAAAAAAAGGTGATAGAGATGAAATCTATTGATCCATAAGATAGGTCTATCTAATTTCACGTAACAAATCCTTTTTCCTGTTTGTTGGCCTTCTTTTTCTTTTCTGAACAATCACGGTTGGTAACGACTTTTTAACCATGTCATGCTTTGGAGAATTGGAGTAAACCAAGGAATATCGTATTTTGGAGCGAATAAATAAGTTTGAATCAAAGTTCACTTGCAAATTTCTTCTATTTGATGCACCACGTCCACATAGTAGTTTGTAAAAGGTCTATTTAACTCCCCTAACTGTTGTGGTTTTCTATTCTATCCCTTCACTTATAAAAACTAGTGAAGTATTGAAGATCATCTAAATAACCCCTGAGGCGGTTTTAAACGCGATTTCTCTTACAAGGCATTTTACATGTACTGACTGACATGGTGGTGAGTGAGCAAACAGTAGAGAAAAAAGTTCTAACAAATCATGTCTTGACAATATAACTTCTTCAACTACAAAACCCAATATTATAGCCCTTAAAACATCTAATTATATTCAGATGAGCCTCAATGGTTTTGCATGACTTTTTGAAACTGTATCCTAACACACTGGCCTAAGTATCAATACTTGTATGCAGACTCATATGTTCCCTTCCTCTCCATACTCTTTACAGGCTCACCCCATCATCCGATGAACATTACTCGACCTTCTCTCTTGCTCCACCCCACGCCACTCCTCAATGGCATTGAGTTCATTACGTCGTATCTGATCCCTTGTCATCTAATCACTTCCACATCCTTCGTCCCTCTTGCTTTCTCCTAGTATGGTTACTTCAAAAACTAAAGGACCAAACAGGTGGCAGGAGAGTGTGAATGTGAGCCAATAGAAGTTCTCAAGAACTAGCCGAAGCACAATTTCGTTGACAATCACTCATCATCACCCCTCCTTTTCGTAGCATGTTCGGTCCTTCAGTTTTGAGTCATAGAAGGAGAAAAGCGTGGTGCGTGAGCTGAGCTCAATGCCGTCAAGGAGTGACAAGCGGTGAGGAAGCTTAGAAAGAGTAAGAAAAGGGAGGCTGCGGATGGGCCTACATACAAGCATGGATACTCATGCCAAAATGACAAGAGACAATGTCAAAACAACCGAACAAAACTCTCGGAGGGGTTGGGATGGTATCATTTAAACATTATTAGATGCTCTAAGGACTATAATATGGGGTTTTATGGTGTAGGAGGTCATGTAGTTAACCATGTTAGGGGTTATAGACTTTTTCGATTGTTTGCTACCTACGTAATATGCGACATCAGTGAAATCATCTTCAAAACCGCCTCAAGGAGTTATCTAGACAATTTTTAATAATTTATTAAGGGACAGAATAGCGAGTGATGATGGAATGAAGTAAACACCGGTCAATAGTTAGGGAGTTAGGGAGGGAGGGGGGGGTGCAAGTAGTATTTTTTTCTAATAATTTTAAGACGTCATCATGCTACTTTCTAAACTTGTATCTCATAATCTCATATGCAGAAAACATTGATAGTAGTTCATAGCTCATACTAGCAAAAAAAAATTTAGATCAATTCATGCAATCCATTGAACCTTTAACCCAAATGGATCCACCCGTGGCCTCTAAATTCCCAAGCTTAGTACAAACGGCCCTGTTCGGCTCGCTAAAATTTGGCAACTGCTGCTGCTTCGTTACGAGAGAAAAATATTATTCCTTCACTAAAAAGTAGTGTTAAACAGGACGCATGATACCACCCTTGGCGACCACGGTCATGGCTACAAGCGGCTCACGCCTCACCGTCACCGAAGCTTCCATATAAATATAAGGATGTGAATGCAGAGAAACATTTAAAATCCTGGTTCCCTTTGTCACTCGACAAAAAAGTAACGCATCACCAACCGTTTGTTTTCCTTTGACCTCCGGTTCCCTCCATCCTTTCTAGGCCCTTGATAATCAAGTTCCCACATTAGTTCTGTCACATTTAAATGTTTGGCATGCATTCAAAATGGACAGCGGCAGTGTTTTTCCATATATCTCATGATTACAACATTGACAAGAATAACAGACATTTCTGACGCGTATGCAAGCTAGTGTGTGTACCGTGTCAAAAGCTTCAGCTAAAAGGATCTGAAACAGGAGACACTATGAAGCTAAGGAATCCCAGCGACCCAGCCTGAACTCGAGATGTGGAAACTGATGTAACCGCTTTACGGTTGCAACTCGCGAGCACTAGCCAAGGCTTCTTGAAGACTGGCTGCAGCCTTGTCGTACATTAGAAAACCCATGAACCAGAACTCATGGCCTTCAACGGAAACGACCTGAATGTACTTCTCAGCGGGATTTACTTTGCTTACTGAAGGATTAGCTGCTCTTAGCTGGTGAAGAGGAATGACCACCTGTTTTTGGAAAGTGAAGAAAACATTTTTAATGAACAGTCATCTGTTTAATTAAAGTCCTACTGATAATTGAACATCAAAATGGATCAAGCAACAACTGGGACAAAAGAGCCAAGTGTGACAAATTAACATGCATCTTCTTAAGTGACAATCAGTGCTTCAGCATTCAACCTAGTTTCATCCAGGGACAGGGAAAGCACCATTGTTAGAGTTAGACCATGACCTCAGTAGAGAGATGGTAACATAAGCCTTCTGACTTTGTGAGCATAGAATCAACTTGTAGTTACCAGTGCACATCTTTAAAGATTCAAACTAAAATTTATCACAAATGTGTAAGGCTTGCAAACTAACCAGACTTCAGTTGTCTCCTTTTTTGTTTATAATCTATATTTCTTCAGAATGGAATGGAATTGAAGAGCATCACTATACTCATCCTCAAATCCAATGTCATTTTTACCAGTGATCACTAAAAAATAAGTTTACCTATTCTAATCTACGGGAAACAAACAATGATGAATTATAGAAATCAAACCAGTCAAAAATATGATAAACTGATGTGCAAAAGGAAGATTGACTTCAATAGCGATAACTCTAGATGCTAAGAAGGGAGTACCCTTACCTTGTAGTAACTCCATTCAGTTTTATTTCCAGCTTTGTATGACAGAGGATTGTCACTGCAGAAAGCAATCTTCGCTGTAGAAATATACAAGACTCCCATGACAGGACCTGCTGATGTTGAGAGATAGCACGCATAGCATATTTTCAGCTGCTCATCTGGAAGAACTTCGAAGGTCTGCTTAAATATTTTTTCATAGCCTCCTTCTGCTAAAACTTTAGTCCCTTGTGCTAGGCGTCCCATAGCAGCTTCAGTAAAACTAGGTCCAGTCTTGACTGTTAAGGAAAATGGCATAATGTCAGGCGAAGGGGAAACCATGTTAATAGACGGAAGATATTAAATTTATTTACCACATCTTCAATTAGATTTGAAGGTTAATTCAGGATCTTGTGGGCTGGCTATCAATTATCAGCCAAATGTCTCGCTTCATATTGAAAGTTTTACTGGTTTGAAGTAAATAAGGTGGATGGCTACAGTACCTACACACGCCAGTGAGGACCTTCACTTGGAACAATAACCAAATTCTTGGAAGATCTACAACACAGCCTATGATCTACAAGTATAGTCAGTTTTCAATGATTTGAAGTTTGATCATGAAAGTCCCATTGAAGTACATCACAACGCGGGGAACTCCACCCTGGCTTTATCTTAAGAGGTGTCGTGCTTTGATCTTGGGTTGGATGGGAGTTCCAACGACTACCAGAGTCCAACGTTCTAACCAGTCAACAGCAAGAAGCTTGGCCATCACAAGTTCTACGATAATAGGTATTTTAGCCAAAAGCCCTAATCAATTGATACCTGAAAGGTAATGGCAAATCTTACTGTTGTAAGATCTGTCCAAAGATGTTTGCTTTTATTCCTGTAAGGGATTTGGTCAAAGTGCAAGCAAAGACAAGTTTACACGTGCACTTGTGAACATTCAGTCAGTAGAGACACCATCCAGTTAAGTTAGAAGACAAGCATGTGAATCAGTATGAAAAGTAAGTTTCTTCTCTCCCCACAAATGATTCAGCACACTACATGCCAGATAACATGCTATGACTAATGAATGTCTAAGAAAGATCACAAGATCATCAGTAGAATTACAAGTTCTTGGGTAACAGGACTTAGAGAATTGTTTTAAAACAAAGTAAACTTATGAAGATACTTAGCCAACAAGGGATAAAGCATATGGAAAGCTACACCAAAATGTTCCTGTATGCTTCTTTTGTAGGGCCAAAGGTTCAAATATCCTGCTTCCCCAGCTCTACAATCCCCAACATAGTTCTCAAAAGGTGTCTAGCACAGCTTTCACTTTACATTTGCAACTTTATATATGGTGATTCTTTCCTTTGATCCTGAGAAAGCTAGTGCATCCTGCCAATCCGTGCAGCTCAAGGAATGAATCACGCAAAGAAACGAACACATTGGACTCTTAGAAGGAAAGGGAAAGACCCTACTATCACTTAGCAGGGGTGCTGACTGCTGAGATCTTACAGTGTTGCCACGTGTCGCGGCTGAGGCTCTCGACCATCTTGGTGGTCTCCCCCCACGACTTCCCCCACCTCGACAGCGTCTCCTTCATCGCCTCCACGGCGCCTGATAATGGGCCAATACACAGTGAAATCAGAAGCAAAAATCTACTCCAGATAAAAGAGTAATACAGCCGCAAGGCTAGGTGCGAGGCGTGGAGCTAGCGGGGTTTTTTTACCCTTAGACGAGGAGGATGCGGGCCCGCGGGACACGTACTGGCTAGACTCCGCCGCGGCGGCGGCGTGCACGTGCGTCGGCGAGTCGGACGTGAGCTTCTCGCTCCAGGTGACCGTCTTGGGCGCCGGCGCGGGCGGCGGGGGCGGCGGATCGACCGTCTCAGCCGCCGGCGCCGGCGGGGGCGGGGATGGATCGGATGCGGGGACTGCGGCGCTGGCGGTGGTGTCGGCCGGCGCGGTGGAGGCGGAGGCGGCGGCGTCGACGGCGGGGTGCATCTCGGCGGGCGGCGGCTGCATCTGAGGGATGTGGGCGCGGTGGTGGGGTCTGAGGAAACGGAAGCGGGGGAGTGGGGTGTGGGGTGGGGAAATGGGGTTCCGCGTCGCAGAGGAGAGCGTGCGTGGGGTTGGCGACTAGTCGTGTTGGTGTGGTGTGGTGGGGTCAACCCGTTTCAGTTCCTTGTTGCAGCAAAAAGTCGCAGCTCGCACGCGGCAACGCGGCGCTGCAATTACAACGGGCAGCTGCGATCCGGTTCGCTTCCATTCCATCGAAATCGAATACGGTGGGTTCTAGAAGCGGGCGGGGTCTAGGCTTCCACGGTGCTGTTTTGCTGCGAGAGAAATAACAGCATCGGGAGGTCGTATCGTATCGTGGATTATTTACTGCTGGGTGGTTTGGTGTGAGAGAAAACACTGTTCCTAGCTGGAAATTTACGATCGTTTACGAGCAAGCGAACAGGCTGTAAGTCGGCTGATAAATTTAACTATTCAAGCGAATGGGGGCCAACAGCTCAACGTCCCAACGTCCTGAACATCTCAACGTCCCAACGTCCACAGCTCGCCCAGAAGGTAGCCCGATAGGAATTAGGAAACTGTAGCACCAAAGGAAAGGCCAGCGCCCGAACGTCCAGATGGAGGGCTAGCGTTCGGATGCCCACGCGCGTATGCCTGCTTCACGTGGGGGTTCTAATGGAGACGAGGGTCCCAATCTTCCGTTAGGTTCAAGATAAACAACGATTTATTCGGAGAGCGACACACGATCCGGTTTCAGATCACAAAGACCCGAACTCTGCAACCTTAGCACCACGTCTCCTCTGGTTATCAATCGTGTCACAATCCGGTTGACCTCACCAAGACGGCTAATCCCTGCTGCGAGTCGAAGAACACAAGCAAGAACAAGATAAAACGCAACTCAATTGAAGTGACAATTGCAGATGAATGATTAAGCACTCGAAGTTGGGGGCTTGCAAACCGATAACGACGACTGTTCAATGACAGATTGATCTAAAACAAAACCCAAAACCTAATGTAGGTGGTGGTTACTGATTATATAGCCTAAGGGACGTCCAAGGATCCCTCTTCACGTCCTAAAGGTGTCCCAACACGTTACAAGACCCAACGGCCCAAAAGACGACGATGCAGCGCCGTGACAGATTCTAGATGTCAACTTGTTTCAACTATTCCTGTTGATTATGATGTAATTTTGATGTGGGACCACTTCCATTGGTTTCCTTATGAAATTATCTTTCCATCCATATGTGGATCATCAAAAACGGAGTTCGTATGCGACCTGGACGTCCATTTTACTACACGCTGGTCCTGGAGCCCGAGATGGACTCGAACTCAAGTTGGACTAGGCCTCCGGCTTGGCTTGGACGTCCTTGCTAGCCTCCTAAGGTGGTGGCCAAGGATGAGGACGTCCAAGGGCTTTCTTGGTGGGTTCTCCAAGTCCTTGGGGTGTGCTCCCACTTGGGCCAGGGTCCCAAGGATGAATAACAAGCCTATAACGACAGTGTAGCTCCCAGCAGAAACAACGACAGAATATCTTGATGGTTTGGAGGCCTTGCTGATGTGATATTGAGATGAGACCAGATCTATTTGAAATCTTATCAAACAAGCTTTCCATCAAGTGCTCATTGACCTCGATCGCACTCCAGATGGCTGAGTTATGGCCTTCCCAATGAAGCACTGTCGAGCTGCCGATGAACCGAAAATTCAACTTTGATGAACTTGCACGTTGAGACATATTTGTACCTACATTCAAATAACGACATGTACATGTGGAACCAAGTGAATTGTACCAAAAATCACTATGCAAATATAGGAACGAGCTCACCTTATAAACAATGGTCGTATCCGATGATGTCATGTCCTCATCATCCTCCCCTTCTTGACAACAAACTGTCCTCGGTTTGGGATTAGCTGAAGAAAACGTTGTTGGTAGTAGCCAACATTGCTCCCCTTCTTGAAATTTAACATGTTTCTTTATAACAAAACTAGGGGAACTCGACATGACAAGATTATAGCAATTGCAATCCTTTGGTTGATCATACTTTTGCACAATATAAGGAGATTTCAGATTTGAACAAATATAGACACGATGCACCATATACTCTCCTTTACAATTATATTTTCCAATAAAATGATATGTACAAGTAGACAACCATGACAATTCAACACATTTAAGTTTCTCTTCTAAACTACTAAGAGCATATAAAGTATCAAACTCAATATAACCCAAAGTATTTGAAGAATACAATAATTTATTTTCATCTTTTTCGGTAGCAATGGGAAGCAAATTTTTATGTTCAGCATAAGTAATTGGTTCCAAAGCCAAAGCATCATACTCATTCACTAGTTGTGGCATACGTATAATAAAAACATTTTCACACAACTCTTCTTTATCACTAGCATTATTAGAATAATTATTTTTTGACAAAGTCAATTCAGATTTAACATCCAATTCTTTCCTTTCATTAGCAGCTCTATCTCTATTAGTTTGTGTGTTTTTAGTATGGTTTAAAGTTTTACCAGACTCCAAAGTATGTGTGGGAGGTGGTGGTGGTGAAGATGTTGTTGTAGTGGCGAAAGTAACCACTCGCCTTTTTATCGCAGTCTCAACCTTCGTAAATGGTTGCTCCACCCTTGCTAAAATCTAGTTGAGGTTGTCGCCAATGTTGGTATGGTTCTTTTGCTGACATTCCTGCAATTCTTTTTCTGCAAGCATAGCAAGCTGGAACAAATGTTTGAGAGTATAAAATTCTATATGGAAAACAATATCTTGTATTTCATGCCTCAAACCACCAAAAAACGAACAATGGTATCTTCCATGTCCTCTACTATCCCACAACGTATTGCACACTTTTGAAACTCTGTATAATATTTTTGGACAGACATATTGCCCTGCTCTAAGCACTGCAATTTGTTATGCCATTCATGTTTATAAGGAGGAATAAAACGATCACGCATAGCTATCTTAAGTTCTTCCCATGTACCAGGTAAAACATCCTCTGCAACTAGCCCATACCACCAAATAATGGCAAAGTCCTTAAACTCACTAGTAGCTTGTTGAACTCTATATTGCTCAGGTACAAGGTGGGCACTAAACTTTTGCTCTACTGTCATCTTCCAATCAAGGTATCCCTCAGCATCATACTGTCCCGAAAAAGAAGGTATGGTAAATTTAACCTTTGCATAAGGATCATCGGGAGCACGATTACGATTACCTTGATGGCGGTTGAAGTGTCGAGTGCCACCCATACCTGTGGTGTTTGTGTGAAGACGAAGATGTAATATGTTTCTCCTTGTTGCTGCTCGATCAACATTACCATCGGTATCATACATCTCGTCATCGTCGTTCACATCTTCATCGGGTGCTGGACGGTTTTCCAATGCAACTATCCTGTCGGTTAACGTGGACACTCTTTTGTCCAATCTCTCAAGAGTGCTACCGAGCTTGAGGTCATTGAGCATGTTGGTTACAGCCTTGGCAATTGCCTCGCTCATATCCTTATGAGCATGTTCTATAACAGATTGTAGTTGCTCTTGGCTGACGCACTCCTTGAAGTCTTTGGGCGTCTTATCTTCATCATCACCTGCCATCGTAGACACAAAACATAGCAACAAACAGTGAAGGTTATCCCTAATAATCCTACTACGCAGGTGGAGTGGTGCTGCCTCTCAAGATCATAGCAAAAGGAAACACCTTATCAAGCTCTTACAAGGTTCTTACCAACGCAAAGCAGTGGACGGTACAACCGGTGGCTGGTACGTGATACCTGTGAGGGTGTGACACCAAGATTGCAAGGATCTTTTTCTGTATCGATCTGAAGTATATGTGGAGCTTGGGAGGCACGCAAAAGAACAAATATGTATATGTGGCACACAAGTCAGTGACAGACAGCAATATTGAATAAATGTCCAGAGCACTTGTCCTAGTTGCTGGCCTATACGTGTTCCTATCACCAATTGTGATAAACAAGAGAGGAAACAAGGATGAAAGGAAACAAGGATCAAAGGTAGCAACGGATGTGAACAAGGCAAAAGGTATCACAAACAATAGAGCTATTGAGTGTTCCTTATGTGCTCCTTTTCGATATCTTCTATTCTCTTTTACTATTTTTTTCTTTTATTTTTTGTCCAATCTTTTTTTCTTGCTTTTGCTCTTTTGATATTTTTTTCTCAGCAAGGAGCACACAAGAATAAACCACAAAAAATTTGAGCTCAATTGAATAAAAGATGTGGCCTATAGAAAATTAGGACTGTGCTAAAAAGCATACCAAAACTTGTGGGCCCAGAAACTCAATTTTTCTAATCGAATTTTGCAAATCTAATTTTTGCGAACCCAGCAACGCTGGGATGAAATAGATCTAAAATTTTCTGGCGTTCTCCGTAGATATAAATTTTTTCCCGTTTCGAGTTCGGATGCAAAAGTTATTACTGTTTTAAGGAAGCTGCTCGAATCAGGGATTTAGTGGACACAAGATGCAAACCGATGGTGATACGGAATAATGGCGGGTGGAGGTATCAACACAAACTAGAAAAGAACACAATCTAAACCAGCAACAAGACTTTGACTTAGGACACAAACTCAACAAAGCGGACTCTGAAACTGAATCATGCAAAGGCTATGGCGCGGATGGTTATAGGATAGGAAACAAATATGGCATTGGACTATGGGATAAAAGCAAAAACACTCGAACTAAGGGTAAGATGCGAACTTGACGGTATACCTGAAGCTCTGATTATCACTTAATGGGGACGAGGGTCCCGATCTTCCGTCAGGTTCAAGATAAACAATGATTTGTTCGGAGAGCGACACACCGATCCGATTTCAGATCACAAAGACCCAAACCCTGCAACCTTAGCACCACGTCTCCTCTGGTTATCAACCATGTCACAATCCGGTTGACCTCGCCAAGAAGGCTAATCCCTGCTGCGATTCGAAGAACACAAGCAAGAACAAGATAAAACGCAACTCAATTGAAGTGACAATTGCAGATGAATGATTAAGCACTCGA